AGTTTTGTTGATCTGGACGAATTCATCAGCAGTCTTCTTGGTCACCAGCATCAGGCTACGACCATCAGACTTTTCTAGACCGTTTGATATTGGGTTATAGTCTTCGGCTACCTTGGCCGTCTCAAGTTTGGTGGCGAAGTTCTCAGTGAGTTTTACCATGTTGACTAGAGATGTCACCTCTTTAATGGCTTCGACCATCTGAACTTCTTCAGGCTCTGCGTAATTAGCTTCTACCGTTTGCAATGGGTCAGAGTCAATCTTCATTTGAGTCTTCCCCTTGTCTCCAAACTTCAGCCTGTCTTCTTGAATGGCGTTTTACACCAGATCCCTGAAAAGAAAACATTGAGAAGTCTTATGACCCAAGAAATTGTGGTACTTACAAAAACCTCTTTTCTTTCTTTGTTCTAAAGGAGGTACTTTAGCACCGGCAGACACTATTATTTGCCCATCCTTAACTAACAAGTCAAAGATTTCGCCACATTTAGTAATGTCGAAAGTGTATGTTCTCTTAGGAAACTTGTCATTAGACTCAGTGGGATTTTTTCCATTCGAAGGAGTTAAGAGTTTACAGGCATAAGGTGGGCCTTGCTTTAATTCAGCAATAGCAACCTCATGTTTGTCGAAACTAGATATTTTGTCATATGGATTTTCTACATCTTCATTACATTCGACAAAGGCTACTTTTTTACCCTTGCTAAACTTAGCTTTCTCTTCTTTTAGCCTTTCTAGTCGTTGAACTCTATCAGCTAGTTACACCATATCTCTGAGATATTGGGTATCCAACTTCTTCCTAATGGAATAATCTAGACCCCCTGCAGCCATTTCGACCATCTCGTGTTCTGGTACTTGTGTAAAGCACCTGGCTTTAAGAAGTAGAAACTTATTAAGGTAATCATCAATTGGCTCAATGACCTTACGTTTGATACTAGCCAGTTCCTTTAGACTGATCTTGGTTTGTCCCATATAAAACTGTTCGTGAAATAAACGTTCTAATTGGGCCCAACTAAAGACTGAATTAGGGGGTAAAGTGGTAAACCATGTAAAAGCATTTTTTGTGAGAGAGCTTGGAAAATATTTGATCCTCAGGCTTTCGTCACCAGCTATTTCTCCTGCTTCAATCATATACCTAGCCACGTGTTTGACGGTTAATTCAGTAGTATCCCCTGCAAACTTGCTGAACTTTGGGATTTTTGTTCTAGGAGGTAACTCGGCCTGAAAAATGTAATCTACTATGGGTGAAGTGTAATTTGGCCTTGTGAAGCCAAAATTTACATCATTTCTGGTCATTATTCTTTCGACCATGGCTGCAAGGTTATTTTCTTCCGCTACGTCTTGATATCGAACCTGTCTAAGTATTTGGTCAGCATTCTGATTCCTGTTCACCATGACTATTCCTGGTTTTTCCTCCATATGAACTGGTACCTGGTTCCTTTGTGGTTCGACTCTGAAGGGTTCGCCCATCTCATGGTCTTCCATGTTCGCCTCAGGTACATTTCCTTGCTGATATTGTGGCCTGTTTTCGACAACGGTTGCTCTTTGATCAAACGCTGGTACTCCCATAAAACCAGCCATACGGGCTAATTACGTCGCCAATTGTTGATTAGTTTGAGTAGTATTCTGAATTAAAGGTTGAAAAACCTCTCCCATTGTCTAAGGTAAGGTGTGCACCATTTGCATGTTGCTTTCATCCATTTGTTGTCTTAAATAGTTTATGGATGTGTTTGTAAGACTGGGTGCTTGAACAGAGTAACCCACACCTATGCTTTGGTTGTTTCGACCACCTGATCCGGATCCTTGCATTGGCGAAGATACCACATTCTCTGAAAATATGAGTGGAGCATTCTGCAGATTCTACATCATCGACGTAGGCATACCATAAGATGGGTTCCTTGATAATGGTTGTGAGAAACTTGGAGGAGGAAAATGCTTGTATATTGAACTTCCTGGAGGTGTTGGTGAATTAGGACTTTGAGGTCCTATATATTCCAACACCGGTTGAGTGTACAATCGTACACATGTTGATCCTGGACTGGACATAGGCTGCATTTGTTCAGACACAACTACTGGTGGTGGCGTCTGTCCTCCCGTCGAAGAAACTGGATATGGAGTATTCTGAGACCCCATGCTTGACTGAGTATTTGAAATGCTTCCTTGAGGATCAACTTATTGATTAGCACTTGTTGCCATTCTTTTAGTGTATCTTCTTTTTGGTACTTCTTCGTGTGTTGTGGCTAACTTTCCACTCCTTTATAACATACAACGAAGTATTCACCCAAAAAGATTAATGTAAACTTTGAAATGCTTAGCACTGGGTTCCACCAGGTGTGCCAATTTGTTTACTGTGAATTTTGGTAAACAACCGTTGGTCTATCAATTTAGGATAAAATTGACTAACTTGCAGGATTGACCATACTAAATCTTAGGACATGTGCTAAGTATGCAAAAAGACCCTAATCTGAACTCCGCGTTCGATTATGAAATTTTTGTAAAATAAAGGTAACTTGAAGATTAAAGGCAACAACGTAAAAAGTGCAATAATCGTAAACGCTTTGGAAGTAAATGACTTTGAAAATAAAGGCAATAATGTAAATGTGCAAAAGATTATAATCTGAACTTTGCGTTCGACTATGAAATCTTCATAAAGTAAATGACTTTGAAGGTAAATGAGCAGAAATTGTAAATGACTTTAAAGGTAAAGGTGCAGGAAAATAGATGTGCAAAAGATTATAATCTGAACTCCGCGTTCGACTATGAAATCTTCATAAAGTAAATGACTTTGAAGGTAAATATGCAAGAAAATAGATGTCGAAAGCAATTAAAAGACTTTGAAATTAAAAAGCTTGAAAGAAAGTGCAACATGTTTAAATTTGAGTAAAAGTAAATGAAAGTAAGTTTGCAGAAAGGCTTGAAAAAGGCAGTTTAAACGTAAAAGTTGAAGGTTAAAGTTCAGAATGAGTAAAAGCGTATAAATGGTAAAGGCAAGTAAATTGCATTAATGAAAAGGGGATGGTGTTGTATCACGTACATTCCCGCTAACTCGCTTCTCTACATGCGGGTACTTTGAGTGGTTTGGAGTGACTAGTACAAGATGAATGAACACCCTTATTACATAAAAGTAACAACTATTTATAATGCTATCAAGTAACTACTAAATGACGGTTATGGCTTCACAACGTGTCCTTTTGGCGCTTTTTCCACAACCTCAACTGCTCCCACGTTCGCCCACTATCAATTTGAACTTAGACACTAAGAATTCCCTCCAGCTTTGATGGTAACTGCCCTGCGTTCTCCTTAGCACAATCTTGGTCGAGAGCTTCTCCAACACTTAGCATTTTTCTAGAAGTTTTGTCAACCTTTCTTCAACTCAGATTTCCTCACAGTTGTTTCGAAACCTTTATATGTTTTTTGAATGACATTCTAACTTAAGATATTTCTGAATTTCACTAGCGTAAAAAATGAGAGCTAACAGCGTGGCAGCTCAGTGATCTCTCTAATCAGGTACGATCAGAACCATTGTCACTAACAAATATCTAAGAATTAAGAATTGGAATCAGAGACATGACCTAAAACTTAAACCGAGAGATGGAAATGTTTACGATTTTCATAAAAAGTCCAGGAAGGAAGAAATTATCAAGAAGGTGAATGAGTTGATTCAATTGTTAAAGGATGAACGAATGCGCTCAATTCTAGAAGAATCTTTAGCAACTTTATCAAAGAATTCTTTTAAAGAAGAAGAAAAATTCAACTCCAATTGCATCCTTTAAGAGAATAAACTCAGTGGTTGAACGATCCCTAGAAGAATCAATGTCCAACGAAGATACTTCATCAATAATAGAATATAAAGAAGAATAAGTTTTATCCAATGGAATATTTGAAAGAAGAAATTAGAAATAATTATCAACAAATAACGTCGGAGAATCAAACTCTGGTAGAATTTTTTAATAATCCTCCTCCAAAAAGAACATGAAATTTGCTTGGAAGCTTATCACGAAGAAGATAATTGTCAGTTAACAAAGTTATCCTACAAGCAACTATTTAAATTAAGCGCTGAGTTAATATAAGAAAATAATAAGATTAAAAAGTGTAAATCAGATCTTAAAGACTATGTTGAGTTTCTAGAAAAGAATAATGAAATGGTAAAATATAAAATGGCTAGCTTTAGAAACCAAACTAATAAATGTGAGACTTGTGTCTCGAGGAAAAAGAAAGTGAAACATATGTGTGAAACTCTAATTTACTAATGGAAAACAAAATCTAGATTTGATTCTATCAACTCAAAGGATTTTCTTAGATAAAACTACATTAGAATTTAAATACGGTAGATATAGAAAGAAAATGAGTTATCTTGTTTCCAAATGCTCTTACTGTGATAAATTTAGCCACTTGGAGGCATTCTATTTTGGTAAAATTTCATAAAGGTTTAATTTTTAATTGCATGTTTAACTTTAACAGCCAATGGAATAACGACACGAACTTAATTCAAATTAAGACATTCGACGACGTTCTCACAATACAGTCGAAAATGACTTAGATTTTTCTCAGCAACATTAACGCATATTACAGCTGTCATCACGCGCCCGTGCAACACACGCAGATACGCAACACAGACAGTGTATCTCACGCTCCATACACGCGGATCGGAAAAACAAAACATTCACATTAAGCAAGCTAAAGAGAAAGTTGTACAAAAATAGAAACTAACACCAACCCTAAGCTTCACTCTATTTTCTGGTTGAAATTAAAAACCAAAAAGAAAAAAGAAAAAAAAAACATCTGAAGATAAAAAAGCAAGTCTCATACATCAAATATTAGTGTGTTTCTATCTTTCTCATTCTTTCTCTCTCTAGTTTCTCTCTCTAGGGTTTCAAGTTTTTTTCGAGTATAAAAATTGAAGTTCCTATTCTATTGTCTTTCACAAATATGGAACTGACCTAGAAAAGAAGGATCAAGAAGTATTAAGCTAAAGAGAAAGAGAAAGAAAATAAAAAAATATATTGAATATGGGAAGGGGAAGAGTCGAATTGAAAAGGATAGAGAATAAGATAAACAGACAAGTTACATTTGCGAAGAGAAGAAATGGTCTTCTTAAGAAAGCTTATGAGCTGTCTGTTCTTTGTGAAGCTGAGGTTGCTCTTATTATCTTCTCCAACAGAGGCAAACTTTATGAGTTTTGTAGCAGTCCTAGGTATTTGCTTTTTGCCTATGTTTATGTTTATGTTTTTGTTTTTGCTTATGTTTATGTTCTTTCTTTATGTTTATATTGGATTTATGAGATCTGGGGATATACAACATGATCTGATGAATAATTGTTGATTACCTTTTTTTTTCTTGTGATTTTTTTTAGTTGATCTGATTACTTTCATGGAGTAATTCTCTTTTTTTTTTGTTGAATATTTTTTTTATAAATTATTTAATTTAGTTTTTAGAGAATTTTCTTCTTAAAAAAAGTTACAAAGTGAGTTACTGACATTTTTGTTGTTAGTAGCAGTACTAGATTTACAAGGACATGATGTTGGCATTTTGAGTTTAGTACAAATAATCTAATTTCTCTTTGTTTAATTAATTTTCATATAATAAAGGATGATTAATTAATTTAATCAGCTTGCTATGAATAACATTATAATCACTGGAACAAAAATAGGTGGTAACAAAAATATATTAAAAATAAGATTATAATATAGTATTGTTCTAAAGTTGTATGAATTTGATTGTTGTTTTTGTTTGAATATTCAGCATGCTGAAAACCTTAGATAGGTATCAAAAGTGTAGCTATGGTGCAGTAGAAGTCAACAAACCTGCCAAAGAGCTTGAGGTATATACAAAAACCTAGGATTAAGCAAATTTTTGTTTTTTGTTTTAGTAAAGTAACTTTGTTATTTTTGATGTGTTACCTATTACTTGATTTTGAATTAACAGAGTAGTTACCGTGAGTATTTGAAGCTGAAAGCAAGGTTTGAATCTCTTCAAAGAACTCAGAGGTAAAATTTTCATTTAATTTCTTTTTCTATGGTTTGCATCTTCACAATATTTTATTAAGATAATGTATTAATTTTGTTTCTTGATAAATCTCAGAAACTTTCTAGGTGAAGATTTGGGTCCTTTAGGTACTAAAGATCTTGAGCAGCTCGAACGCCAACTCGTTTTGTCTCTCAAACAAGTCAGGTCTACTAAGGTAATATTATGATCGATTGTGATGCACCGACTATCCAAAAAATATAATCATATAATTTTGAGTAAACTTTCGATCTTACATTGTTTTGAATATTATTTTGTAGACTCAATTTATGTCGGACCAATTAGTTGATCTTCAAAATAAGGTACATGTTTGCGTAGCAACATAGTAAAAACGCAGACCAAATTATTATTATTATTATTATTATTATTATTATTATTATTATTATTTGATTGATTATTTAATTTAATTTTAAGCTGGAAGAAATAAATATAAATTCAAGAAACCAGTATAGACAAACATGGGAAGGTGGTGATCAAAGTATGGCATATGGTAATCAAAATGCTCACTCACAAAGCTTCTTTCAGCCTTTGGAATGCAATCCAACATTGCAGATAGGGTAATAATAATCTATAATTCTTTTTCTTTTCTATTCTTGTTGCTAAATTAGGTCTAACTATTTTGTTGGAACTATTTGAGAATTTTTAAATAAAATCTTTATAAATTTTATAAAAAAATTGTAATTGGATCCCTTGATTTTTTACTAATTTTTAATTAAATTCTTTAACTAAAATGTCTTTAATTAGATTTCTAAATTTTTAAATAATTTGTTAGGTCTCTAAATTCATAAACTTAACTACCAATTATTCTAAATTTAAAAATCTAATTTAATTTTAAGAGAAATGCAATTTTAAACTATTTAAAAATTTAAATTTTTTAATTTTAAGGTCGATTTAAATATTTATAATAAATACCTAAATTCATTTATGAACTCTTAGTTCAAAATTCTACTCACACATTTTTGAAATCTCTGTGATGATTCTTCTTAAGTGGCTCAAAGACGACTCTAATTAATCAGTATATTATTAGAATCATGACGACGAGGTTGACGAAATCAAATGACTTTTTGATTTTTTTTTTAAATTACTAACAAAACATGCATTTAAAAATTCTCAAATATTTCTAGAAATTCAAAATATTTACACCATTGAAAGATTATTTTCTTAACTGTTGTTTCATCCCTTAATTCAGGACTGATTACAGGTACAATTCAGTGGCATCAGATTATTTCTCTTGTTGCATAAAAACCAAAGACAAAAACAAAACAGTTTTTGGTTTTGACAATGTTGTAAATGCTGCATGTGCTTTTATCTGTTACTTGTGTTGTTATAAAAACAGCAGTGACTCAAACTATTGAAACTTTAGCCAAACACATGTGGCTTTTATATATATATATATATATATATATATATATATATATATATATATATATATATATATATATATATATATATATATATATATATATATATATATATATATATATATATATATATATATATATATATATATATATATATATATATATATATATATATATATATGTGTGTGTGTGTGTGTGAAGGTTTTTAGTATCATTTTGAATATCCTTTGGAGTATTCTTGGTTGGAAGTTATAGTTTGATGTTCTGATTGAAAGTTAGCATTCAACTGTGTCGAAGTTCAGGAGTCACATGTATTTGACAGGGTCAAATATAGCATATAGTAGTGTTGAAATGTAATTTGTAATTTTGTATTATACATTTTTATGTTTTAGACTTGGGTTGGTTTGTATAGTTTGGGTATGGGCTTTATTTCCCTATCTAAAAAGTTTTATATGATGCAAACATAGAACTTCACTCAATCCTAATTTTTCGTAATTCAGTTTATAGTTTTCTCTCTTTTCTCTCTTCTTCTTCTCTCTCTCTCATCTTTCTTGAAAAAATTTGTTCCAACAAATTGGTATCAAGGAGCCCGGGTTTGATTTAGAGAGAATCTGTAATGGAAAATGGAACGACAACATCAACGTAATTTCTAGCGAATGTACTAGTTTTCAAAGGGGAGAAATATGAACAATGGGTTGCACAGATGAAGGTCATCTTCGGATTTCTAGATGTGTCTGCAATCGTGAACGATGGAGCACCGACAGTAGAAGTGGATGCAAATGATGTTCTGCAATCTGTGCATAATCACTACAAGAAAAACGATAGATTGCGACAGTTATTTTGACAGGTTACGACGGTTAAAACCACCACCAATTACATTCTACGACGGTTGTAGTACCGTCGCAGAAACGTGTGTCCCCAGGTTGTTTAGCGACGGTTGAAAAAACCGTCACACACAATCGTCATTATATTTCACGACGGGCTTGAACTGATCTAAACTGGAGATAGCGACGGTTAAAGACCGTCGTTACTAGCCTTTTGATTTTTATTTTCATTGTTGATTGTGACGATTTAAAACTGTCGTGAACTCTATTTCACGACTGGTTGGAAATGACATAAATTGGAAATGACAACAGTTAAATACTGTCGTGAATATCCTTTTGATTTTTGTTACCATTGTTGATTGCGACGGTTTAAAACTGTCGTGAATGTGATATCTTGACAGTTCATTATTAATTTTTATATATTGTATTATATTGTTTTATAATATATTGTTTTATTTAAATTATTATCTACTAAAATAGTTACATTATTTTTTCTTTAAATTATTTATACAATAATATTTTTATTTATAGTTTTTTTTATAATTTTTTTCTATCGCTTTTTAGCGTAGTAAAATTAATTCCAAAACTTAATATCAAATAAACATGGCAAAATATCCTTCCTGATCCCTTAACTATACCTCGGGGTTCATTTTGGTCCCTTAACTTTAAAAAGTTCCATATTGGTCCCTTAACTCTTCAAATGTTCCATATTAGTCCTTTTTGACCTATTAGCGACGAATTTAGCGACGGTTTTTTGATTTTTTTTTCCGTTGCTAATAGGTCAAAAATGACTAATATGAAACGTTTGAAGAGTTAAGGGACCAATATGGAACTTTTTAAAGTTAAGGGACCAAAATGAACCCCGAGGTATAGTTAAGGGACCAAGAAGGATATTTTGCCAATAAACATTATAATATCGAAAAAACGTGAGTTTCATAATCATGTAAAATGAAAGTTCCATAATCATGTCATGTAATACAAAAATCCTAAAACATATCAAATCATAATCTTATAACAATAAGTATCATTGTGCCAAAAAATGAATAATTCTATGCACAATTCAAGTATTTGTAAAAGTAACAAGTTTGCAATGGGAAATCCATTCTTAGACTTGCATTCACCCTGTCAATATTTTCATCACAAAATTCATTCTGCTTTCTTAAGCTACGGATTGTCATAACACCAGAAAGGGTCTCTGAAAAGTGATGAATCACCAAAGCTTTTGTGATTGAATCAAGACGAGTCAATTCCCTAGATGTTGCAAGATAATATTTCTGCAAACCAGAACAATGTAATAATCAAGATAGGACCAAGTTGCAAGATAACATTACTCTGTAGGAGTAGGTATATCATACCCTATGCCAATTGTAGAGCCAGACCAGTGGAATTACGAGAAAGACAGTCTCCCAAGAGTTCTAGCATGTGACAATGAGGATACTGAATAATGATAAGTATGCTATCATTACAAAGTTTGTAAATATTGGAATTGTTATATCCACCCAAAGTATATCAGTGGATACCTAAACAATTCATAACAAGAGTAGATAGAGTTAGCAAATTCAAACACTAATAAAGCATAAACCAAACATTAAAAGGGATGTTGAATGAAACTCACACGACTCAAGATTCTGCCAGAAGGAGTGGTATCAAAGAATGACATTGGTGCACGAAGGATACTTTGAATCATTCCAACGAAGAAGCTTTGAGATGTCTTCAAACCCAAATACGTATACATGAAAGCTCTTCCTATAAGAACTATGCATGCAACAACAGCTATAGCAGCATAGACAAAAATGAAAGTAAAAGAAGGAATGCCGGAACCATCAGAAGTTGCAAAATAGTCACCAGCTAAAAATGACAACACCCAACCAACTGACATTGCTACTACAAGTGCTATTCCCCACCATCCGAATGCTTCTGTGAAATATTATTTGTATACTTTAAGGCTCACATGTCCAGTTTCTCTTCCCTCGTCTTCAATGAGCTTTGCTGCAGTTTTATCATCAAACTTAGATTGATCTTGAGAGGACTGCTTTTCAACCCCGCTTTCTTTTTCTTTCGATACAATGCAGGCGAATTTTGGAGACTGAGAAGAATCATCATTGGAATTATCATTTGTTTCTAATATCTCCATAGAGGATTCATGAGCTGCCACAAGTGCACCAAAATTTAGGCCTGCTTTGAGAAGTTCATCATACTTTCCACTTTGCACTACTCTTCCTTCACGCATCACCTTTAAAGTTGATGTCAAAATATAAGCTAAAATATAATATCTAATACTATTGGTAAGATTAAGATAAGTCGGGACAAATTGAATTTAACTTCCATTTACAGAAAAACTCAATAATTTAGGGACTTGTGAGCATATACATACCATGATAGAGTCAACATTATGCAAGAAATCAACTTGATGAGTTAATTACAAGTAAAACAGTCTTATCTTTGAGAGTTCCCATGATACATTCCTGTAAAAAGATGGAGAATCAGTTGTGATTTGTATTAGAAATTTAAAATGACAATTAATTTATAATGGAAACCAGTATCATCTTGATTGATACTATAATGTATTGTTTATAATCTGAAAAACCAGAACAATGTAATAATCAAAATAGCAGAACAATGTAATATTTCCAAACAACATTGAAGCAGGATAATCTGAAAAAGGAAAATCTCACCAACAACGTTTTGACTCGTCTTGAATCGCAGAATATTACCAAACATTTTTCGTTAATTGTGAAAACAATTCTAATGGACATGGGAGATTTGGAACCGAAACAGGAGCAGTCCAACTTCCTACAGAACAAACAACCATTATAGCAGGACCTTTAGAAGGATTTAATTTGAAGGGGCAGATGCTTCCAACATTAAGGTATACGTGTATGCATCGGGTCGTAAATCTGACTTTGCAACCTTAACTTCCTCAAATAAAACTTTAGCTTTAGAAAACATGTCATTCTGGCCGTAAATTTTCAGCATGATATTTACTATCCCTACGTTAGGAGCACGGTGGTCTTTCATAAATTCAAATATAGATACAAAATCATCAATGTGCCCACCATCCATTGATGACCTAATCATGCCGGTGAAAGTAACCTCCACGGGTTTAGCGAGAGGAAGTCTTTTTATCTTCTCAACCTACAAGCCATATTTCAATGAAAAAAAAATACTTTAATCAGGGTTTTGCGAGTATCTGAATGACAAATTTGGAGTTTAATTGAAAAAGAAAAGTACCTCTAGAATAGCATCTTACCATCTACCACAGTTGCAGAGGCAACATGCTAGCTCATAATATACACTAGTTGTTCCCATAACACCCCGTCTTTCCATGTCCCTGACAACTTTCACAACTTCATCAACTTTACCTTCCTTCCAAAAAGTTCTCACCAACACTAAGGAAGAGAGGAAGTATATAGCAGGACATCAGAATAACAGTTGCAAATGATATGAAAAGTAAAACACTACCTTTATATGTAAGGGCTTCTGGAACTTCCCCACTGCTCCTCATCTTTTGAAATAACTCATGGACAAGGTCATAGTTGCCCGATTGCAGCATTACCTTATAACAAGCATCACCTGTAAGACTTGATCACATTTTCAAAAAAGTAATACCATAATAAATCAACCAAATAGATTTTTCGAGAATAGTTCTCCCAAAACAGCTTATATTGTACCATGTTTAGTTTTTTGTTTGCGGCATAAACAAAGATGACAGCACAATAACTATCAACTCAGAATAGCAGTTATCAACTTGATTATGTGTGTAGCCTTGTAGTGAAAAGTAAGAAGAGCCAAGTTATTTAGTATCTATTTTTTTCAAGATAAGTTACTTGTTTCCGATATTGTAATCCTGTAATTACCTTCGTCGCAAGTCCATAAGTAGCTCCATTAGGTTTTAGACCACTTTCCCTCAGTTGCTGAAAAACCCATGACACAGCTTTCTATTGCTTTGATGGAACACAAGCATTAAGTATCTAACAGTAATTGAAGAAACCCAAAGATTTAATCAATCTGCAAAATGTTATTCTAAAGAAAGTTATATAAATGTTGTGGCCACCTTGACCACCTTGACCAAGTGTGACAGCAATGTTGTGATATACAGCCATATTAGGATATACATGAATGTTTCCCTGGACAAGTTGAGAGTAAATCAATACAGTGACGTACAACAACAATTAAAGACGAGTCTTTAGATGAAAACAAAAACAAACTAAGCACTTGATTCTTACACGCATCAAATTGAAAATTTGAAGAGCTTCCTGTGGCCTTCTTGACTTCCCAAGAACTGCAAGAAGTTTTGTGTACACAAACCTACAAAATCATAATTAGTTTCATCGGAAGAGAGAACTGAATATGCAAAGCACTAAGCAGGTAAAACAATAACAAAAAATGTGAATAATAAAATCATGCATAATATTTGGTGGCTTTCAGAAGGGAAAAAACACCTGCTTTGAAACTTTCTGCGATCCTTACAATCGTACACCCATTGAACCACAGATAGAGCTTGCTTCCAACAAGCTCTAACACCTAGCATTTCAAGAATCATCATTTAGAGATCAAAACAAGAAATACTAATGCACTTAGCAAACTGAGTCTTATACCATTGTTCAAGGAACTCCTCGGAACAGATGGTGAAGCACCTCTCAAGTTTCCACCACCTAAAGTGATTCAAGGTTTCATTAGCAAAACACTTTAATCTTAGTTTTGTAGTTTCCTACAAAATATTGAAAGATTCTTAGAGATATTTCGCATTGATCTTATTTTGAGCAGTGAATCAGTCTGGATGGATGACAGATGATGGCTGGTGTGAATCCACACATCATCAAAAGACTTGTGGTAAACTTAATAGTTTAACAATTTTTATTCTAACACAAATATTTTCAATTGTGGGAGTTTACCATAAGTTTGCTACATTTAATGTAGGAGTTTCCACCTAAGAGCAAGCTAGATAGAAAACTCTTTGGTGATAATACCAGCAAAGTAACCAAAGAACATTTACAACCAAACATGTGTGGTTTCACAGTTGAACAAGTAATTGAACAATTTAACATCAATATTGTTTTGCCAATTCTGGTTCATTTTTATTCAAATAATTGCAATTACTGAATTAAATTATTTAATTTTCTAAATAGGCTATCCAAACCAACAGATTGTACATACTTGATCACCACGATCCATTATTTCCATATCTGAGGAAAATAAATGCAACTGACACAAAAGCATATGCTACAAGAACAGTCCTTTTCTTGCAAGATAATGGAACTTTGAAGCCATTGGCTATTGAGTTGAGTACACCACATCCTGATGCTGATAGTTTCGGTCCTGTTAGTAAAGTTTACTTGCCTGCAAGTGAAGGTGTTGAAGCTTCAATTTGGCTCCTTGCCAAGGCTTTCGTTGTTGTTAATGACTCATGCTATCACCAACTTGTTAGCCATTGGTATGAATTTCATTTATAATGTTTATACAATCAAACATAACTTATCTATACATGAGTAATTTCATGAATAATTATCTACATGTGTGACAGGTTGAACACTCATGCTGTTGTTGAGCCATTCATCATAGCAACAAATAGGCATCTTAGTGTGGTTCATCCTATTCATAAACTTTTACTTCCACACTATCGTGACACAATGAATATAAATTCACTTGCAAGGAGTATCTTGGTAAATGCAGAAGGTATTATTGAATCGACATTCTTGCTGGGAAGTTATTCTATAGAATTGTCTTCCGTAGTATACAAGGATTGGGTTTTCACAGAACAAGGACTGCCTCAAGATTTACTCAAAAGTTAACCCTACAAAACAATAATTGGTTAAAAATATATTAGTCTCAATCTCAACTATTTTTTATTTTGATGTTAATGATATCTTCCTTACTTGTTATCTAGAGAAATGGCGGTTGAGGATCCAACTTCTCCGCACGGTCTTCGCCTTCTGATAGAGGATTACCCTTATGCTGCTGATGGACTAGAAATATGGGCTTCTATTAAGTCATGGGTTGAAGAATATGTGAATTTCTATTACAAATCAGATGCAACTATTGTTCAAGATTCTGAACTCCAGGCATTCTGGAAAGAACTTGTAGAAGTGGGCCATGGTGATTTGAAGAATGCAACATGGTGGTTTAAGATGCAAAGTCGTGCAGAGTTGATTGAAGCTTGCACCATTCTCATATGGATAGCTTCAGCACTTCATGCAGCTGTTAATTTTGGACAATATCCGTATGGAGGATACATCCTTAACCGACCTACTAAAAGTAGAATATTTATGCCTGAGAAAGGATCACCTGAGTATGATGAGCTTTCTAAGAACTACCAAAAGACATTTTTGAGGACAATCACACCAAAGAATGATACCCTTATTGATTTAACCATTATAGCTAGAGATTTTGTCACGACGTTAATTACAAAGTAGTTCACATCATTTCATTAAATATGGACAATGACATGAAAACTTACACTCTAAAACTTGAAGTACCCAAATCAAAAGATAATAACAACCCATCAAATTAGAATCAACTCAAAGCTATAAGAGATTAAATATAAAGTAATCAGATCAAAATGACCTCAGATATAACAGGTGCAACAATATATGAAAATTCTTACACATTATATTACCTTCTTTCCAGGCCTAACAAGCCTCAATGCCACTTCAGCAGCAGTATTTGCTGCAGCAATTACATCAGCTGCACGTCCTGTAACAGGCCCCTCTTGAAGAACATGTGTGTGAGCCACAACAGCAATAAACCCATCAATATGACATGCCAAATCACTATAAAAACCAAAGATGCCATCACTAATACCCTACAAAAAACCACTTGCATATACACTACAAGTGTTATGTTATAGTTTACTCTAGAACTCAAATCTGTGAGATAATTACAACTTACATGGAGTTAATCCAGGAAATTAATTGAATTTGTAAGAATGCTTCAAATATACTAAATAATCTTCTGGATTGCGATCTCTTTGGCAGAAGTTGCTAAGCGGCAGCAATAAAACAATTAGCTGATCCGTGCAAGAAACAACTTGACACATCTCTACCATTGCAATGTATCTCCTGTAAAAGATGTTTTAAAAAATCAGAGTGAATGCTATAAAAAGAGAAGATGTGAGGAATTCAGGGAACAACATAATACAGTTAATAGCTAATATACAAAACAGAAGGTCACTCTGCTCTAAAATTGAAGCCTTTAAACAAATGAAATGACCATTAATTATAATCAGCTAAGATTGTTGAGATGGATGAACTAACAACCAAATCCTAGCATCCAATTCAAACTAAAATTCATCTATTAATTCTCCATGCAGTGGAAACTAAGAACTTCCCAGAATTACAGAGTGTACTTGCTACAGGTTTTTCTTGAGAATGGAGATTCTGAAGACTATATAGTAGATAGATCCCATCATTTGAATCAGACTACGTTATTTAGAATGGATATGATGTCTTTGTTTATATGAATGAGGTTAGATGGAGAATTGATTTACAATTGAAAGGTTGGTAAATGGAATTTATGTTACTGTTAGTAAAAGGTCAGCAATTTGAAATATGAGGATGTGTTAGGGATATGTTGTTAACTGCTAGCTACTAACTTGAAATGTTATTTCATTTGGATTAGCTCACTTGGCCCAGTTGCTGTGACATAATAGCCTAGTTTGAATGCCTTGAAATTCCACCGCAAGACACGCTAGGTTGGCAGCTGACTCCTCGTGACCTTATGTTAACTTGGCTAACTACAACTGGAACGGTCCAATTCTAAATGTGTTAAAGGTTAGATGGTCAATAACATTTATGATGAATCATAACCACAGTGCCTTCACAAAGACCAAAACACCCATTTATACTTAAAACAAACTTAGACAGCAGCCTAAAAACCTATTTTAAACAGCAACTCACCAACTAGCATGTTTAAACTACTCTGCAACAACTCTTAGCACATAACCTAAGTAGATAACACAACAAATTCTTGGACATAACAATGGTTATGCGAGAGATGCAGCAGACTGGAACACTGAAGGTATTTGGCCCATCAATGAAACATCAAAAAAAGGGGTGGGAAAGAGACATTATGAAGATGTTACTTACTAAAGCAATGTATCAATTGTAGCATATCATAATTGTAGCTCTGCTAATTTACTGTTGTTAATTGTAGTTGCTAATTAAACTCATCAGGAAAAATGCCGCTGCCGCAAAGAGGCAGTTTGGCAAGGGCATCCGCCAGCCAGTGGGCAGAGTCGGTGGTGGATCCACCAAAAAGAACTTCATTTGCTACGCTAACAGTACTATTTCCAGGGTTAGCAGTGGACCAAAGAATTTCTCAGTTTCTAGGATCCATTGCGACCCATCCTCCAGTGGTTGTATTCATATTAGATGGTAAAAGTTGGAAATTATCCTTATTTGAATTTGCACTGTTGGTATAAACTCTTTTTTCATCAGTTGATGCACCCCATATTCCACCTCCGCCCGTTCCACTAGGCCCTGCTTGCTGCAATTTTCTAGTTCATGTTTAATATTATTGTTGAAAGTTATAATTTTAGACTATAATAGAGTGTATGTTACCTTAAACCATATAAGGGTTCCGTTATCGCAATCCAATTCCCATGCAAACCCACTTTTCTGAACAGCAACAACGATATCTTTCTTTGTTCCGTTTACATATGTAGTTAACATCATTGGCGCCTCTCCAAAATCTGAATATGGTAATGGACCTTGAGGCGGACAGTTAGGAGTTGAAGCGTTATTACATGCTATAAACCATACATCCAAGCCTCCTAACTGTTTGAACCATTTGATTTTTCCATAGTCCAAATCAAGGGCCAGGATCGAATTGGAGTGGTTTTCTGGTTCAATACACTCGTCTGTTTCAACAGGATTCGTTTGATTATTTTGTCTTTCTTGACAATCAAGTATGTTTTGTGGGGCTGAATAGAGATTTCCGGTGGCAATATAAACATGTTTTTGATAAACATCAATGGAAGGACTACTTCCCCAAATCGCGGCTCCTGCATATTGATCTCTTTTTCCTTTGTTATCTGGCAACATATAGGTTTGCCATAAGATAGCACCGGTTTTAGCATCAAGTTTTGCAAAGCTTCCGCGGAATGTAAAACATTTATCAATTGCTACTTGCTCTTCTAGCGAAAAGCCTATTTTGAATTATAAACAATGTATCAAAAATATAGTTTAAACTCCTAAACAAGCAAAGGACTCAATCAAACAACAAGCACAATAGAGAAAGCAACCGTCGCAGCTAGACATGATCACCGAAAACAAAATCGAGCCTGACATCAACTCAGGACAAAACCATTGAATTAACAGCACACAAGATTTCAAATAAAGGTCCTATACCAGAATTTGCTACCACAACCGTTCAGCATCAAGAAACTCGATCTGACACGTCCACACAGATAAATAATCCATTTTTCTTACACAAATTTAACTCTCAAACAGAGAAATCTAACACACAGTGCTTAAAACCAATTAAATACAAAATTCAAAGTAAAATCCAAACCAGGATCCGATTCAGGGTTTGAGAAGACAAACCTATAAAGATTCGAATTGATGGTGGTTGCTTTGACGGTGATTCGGTGATTCACAATGACAGCGTCAGGTTGAGAAAAATGTCAGTTTTCCTCTTTCTCCAAGGACGTGAGCGGCAAATTCTTAAAAAGAAGTGAAAAATACGTGGAAAGAATTTTCAGTTTTTGCGGGAAGATGAAATTTTGGAGCACGACGGTTAGATATCACCGTCACAGATGAAATTTTCACAATTTTGAACGATAACGACTGTAGCTTCCAATCATAATACAGTTTTATTTTAATAAATTCTTTTCATTTCTCTATTTTGATTGAATTAATTTGTTTATTTGATATTTTATAATATTATGATTATAAGTATATATAGTTTAATTTTATATTTAATTTTTATTATAAAAATTGTTTCTAAAATTTTGATATATAGTTTAATTTTAATACTTTAATTTTGGATATAATATTTTGAATTTAATTTTTACTATAAAAATTGTTTTTAAAATTAAAGTTTTATTTTAAGTATATATAATATTTTCATTTTTATGTATTTTAATTTTAATTTATTACTATAATTATATTTTATAAATGATTTTAGTCATTTATTTATTTAAAATACATAGACTTATTTAGATCCGCCATTGGTTATAGTTTGTGTTACTGGGTTTAAGAGGCGACAGTTGTTCTACCATCGGGACATAAAATTTAGGGCGGCACTTGAGACAGTCATGAACTTATTTGTAGGACGGCTTAATGAGAACAGTCGTAATATTTAATAATCTTTTAAAAATATAAGGACGGTAGGTGTATACTGTCGTGAAACGCGTCTCTATATTAGAGTTACGACAGTTATCAAGTAACTGTCGCAATTTTTGTGTCGTAAAACTCTAATTTTCTTGTAGTGAATGAGTGAAGAAAGAAAGACGGAAAATGTTTGATCTTGATTCACCGATGTGTGGATTCTAATGTGTTTGAAAAGATTATTGAAGAAGAAACAATGAAAGAAATGTAAGAGAAGTTGAAAAGCTTGTACGACGAAGATGAAAAACTGAAAAGGGTGAAGTTACAGTAGACGTTGAAAAAATTATTTGAGATGAATCAGACTCAAAATATCTTTCACGTGTAGTGTTGTTAACGAACCAGATGAAGTCGTGTGGTGAATTAATCAATGATTTGCAGAAGATGAGAAAATATTGAGATCTTTGACTATAAAATTTGATTACATCATAGTGTTAATTGAAGAGTCCAAGAACCTAGCTGAGATGAAGTTAGAAGAACTTCAAGTTTGTTAGAGGCTCATGAGATGAGGCTGAAGTAGAGAAACTCAGAAAGGGAGAAGGTGGTTGAACATACGCTACAAACAAGATTCATCAAGAAATATGGGAAAGAGAAGGATAAGAATCTTGCTAATTATGAGAAATAAAGCAAGAACTCAAAGAATCATTTTGATTCGATCAAGAAAGACATGGGTGACAATTATTATAGAATGAAAGTTGACATGAAAGAGGTGTAATGTTACAACTGTCAAGGATTTGGTCACTATGCTCGAGAGTATCAAATAAAGAAGGAAGCACGAGCGAAAGATAATGATGAAGTGAAATATGCATATGCTGAAGATAGTGATTCTGATGATGTTTTACTCATGGCCAACACTCATTTGAACATTGAGCAAAACAACATGTGGTACCTGCATTTAGGATGCAGTAAGCACGTGACTGGCAATAAAACCTAGTTCGCCAAGCTAGATGAATCAGTCGAGAAAGTGATAAAGTTTGTAGATGGAAGGCACATCACATCAGGTGGAAAAGGAGATATTTAAGGATGGTCGAAAGTCCAGCATCAATGATGTGTTATATGTACCACTGATGATAAGTAATTTGATAAGT